AGAACGACAGTGAGGAGGAGATGAGCAAAGAACGAACAAGATGACTCTCAGTGGTTTTGGATTTTTCAAAAATTCCGAAGGAGAAGGGAAAATAAATGAGGCGGTGCGTGCTTGCTGACCTGAAGAGAATATATATCTGACTTTTATGAAATTGCAAAAATTACAAAAGAGGGCCTAAAATTTCTTCTAATAACATAAAAGACATAGACATTTTAGTAGTTTTTCTAAAATTTTAAACTAGGTGAAATTAATCTATTTTAAAATCATTTTAAATGTTAGACCTTCAAGTAAGCTATTAGCATTAGTTTCACTAATCAACTCTCTCCATCTGCCATAATATTAATTTAAATAAAATATAAATTAGGAGGATTTTTTAACTTAAGTTCATTACAATCAAATTCAAATTAGAATTTATAAGATAAGATGATTAAACCCTAGATTAAGGAATCTAACCATCTAGTAAAAAGAGAAGAGGATAGGAAACAAACTCAAGACTCATTCTCCATCTTCATCTCTCTAGGATTCCATAAAGAAACTGAGCCAATCTTTATCATCTTCAAGAACCCTAAGTTGGAAGCTTGTTGACCGAAATTTATGGAACTTGGGATGAAGAAAATGAGCATAGAACCTTGTGAAATAGGAAGGGATGGAACAAAAATGAAGAGAGGAGAAGAATGGTGTTATTTTTGTGGAGGTTTAGTAGCTGAAAATGGAGGTTAGAGTGCTGGAAAATGAAGAATAAAAGAGAGAAAATGAAGAACATTATGAACAAGAGAGAGAAAATGTGAAATATGAATGAGATGAGTGTTGGATCTCAATTGGGGCTGAATGGATGTGCTCCTAAGTATTTTCCATCAGCTGAATACTCAATTAAAAAATGAAAAAATAAAATAAAAAGAAAATAGGAGACTTGTCATACTTACAAGGTGGCACCCTCCTAGTGGTTTGTAGATGATTTCAATGTGTGCCTAATTTTTTATGTGTCATCCAAATTATTTAAGATGATTTAATCCCTTAAAATAATCATAATTCACGTGCAAATGATTAGCCATTGACCTCAAGGAGTGTTGACCTCAATTGTCCAATTTATGCACAAGTCACATGTTATCTATGTCACATAAATCACATAATTCAATTAAACAGCATGTGATATAATAAAATTTAATTAATATCTAGAGTTAAATTCATAATTAGAAGGGAGAATTAATTAAAATAATCAAGTTTTAGGCTACACAAAATTATATAAAAATTTTCACTTAAAGGTGAACCAAAAACTAGGCCAAACTAAAATACTTAAGAAAGTGTTGACTTTTTATTTAGTTACTCCCAAACTAAAATGAATTTTAAAAATATAATTTCACCACTCATTAACTGGACATAAAATAAAATTTGTCAATTTTTCTTGTACATTTTCTCAAAAGTTTATTTTTTGGACCAAAATGCCCCTAGTGTACTAAACCTAGAAGCTTAGGCAAAATTATAAATCTAATGTAATGTGTACACTTAAAGGAGATAAATCATTAATAAAAGGGTCCTAATTGACAAATAAAAGTGGGTAATAAATGTGTTCTATCACTAATGCATTAAATTATTTTAAACTGAGCACGTTGTTGCATGGTTACAGGAGTTTTGGTTATATAAACAAGTGAAATTGTGTAATTTTATATATGAATATGTGTGTGTGTGTGTGTGTGGTGGGGATTGGGAATCTATTATTCATTCAGAAAGCATGATCAAAGGGGTGGGAGTTCACCTGTGTGAGATATAGAGAAAGACCATATGGCATATTTTTCCTTAGTGTCGACGGGGTGCGATGTTGGATAATTGTATCTCTTAGTGCCTTTTAAAGTGCGGTGTTAGAGATTATCTCCTTAGTACCTATTAAGGTGTGATATTAGAGATTCAAACTCCTTAGTATTGATGTGATGCAGAGTTGGAGTCAACAACACCTCATTATGTGTATTGGGGGAAACCATAATCTAAAAGTAAGATAGAATACCTTTGGTAAGGTGATTTTACCACTGAAGGTGAGCTTAAGGTCAATGAGAGTATATATCAGTCTAAGGTGAGCCTAGAGTTTTATGTCAGGGTAATTTGGAGGTTTGGTTGATAGTGATCATGTCAATGGTAATAAGTGGCGACAAGTGGTAAATATAATTGTAAAAGTGGCAAAAAGATATGTTGATGTGATTTAAAGTAAAACATATGTTATATGCTATATTTACCTATATATTATGCTATACTTGCTTATGGTTGCAAGTGATAGTCGATAGTAGAGAGTTATTCTGTTACCTAGATTATTATTTTACCTTGCAATTACATTTTTACATGTTAAAGTAGTGAGCTAGGTAAAGGAAAAGAGTCAAGACTAACTTAGCATTGTTAAAGCCGTGTGATTTTAGAGTTTGTGTAATGAACCTAAACCTTATGAATGTTATGTATATAAGTTACTCTAGGTATTGCATGCATGTTATGAGTAGTGAATTAGTGGACTTATAGAGATTTGTAATAATTTTATAAATCTTAGTCCATATATGTAAATATATGGTGAAATAATTAGCAGGGGCTAAGATTTAGTTATATATATGTTGTGAATATGTAAAGTGGTTATTTGTGGTGATATTATAGTGAAAATGGTCAAAGCAAAGTTTTTGAGCTAAGTGGTGAGAAATTTGTGTTTTATAGAAATAGGCTATTGAACAACCAGCTTTTGACACGTATGTATATATGTTATATATTATGGTCAATCAGGTGTATTAGGTTCTTTTGGACTTGATTGAAGGCCTAATATGGTTTAATGAGATAATGGGATCGACTTGAGTACTTGAGTGTGTTAATTTCTTTGAAAAAGTTATTTTTTGCACCCGAATGTTCAAATTTTGATCGAACCATTTCTGTCTCATTAGTTAGCTTACGAGTTAAGCTTCATGTGGGTGATTGAATCGCTTCAATTGGACATTGTGTATAGATACGACGTATGTTGAAAGTTAGTCATTTAAGCTATCAAATGACAACTATAGAAACTGGTATGTGCACCGTGGCACACCGTGTTTCATGTTGCAGTACATGTGTAATGACCTTAAAATTTTAATAAGTTTTATAGCAATTAGAAAGGGGTTGTTTATAGGAGATTATTTTAGAAACTTTTACAAGGATCTAGAGTCCAAATTTTCTAAGTTGAAGTTTGGTTTTCAATTATAAATAAATTTTGTGCCCTTTCTTATAAATTTTGTGCCTTTTATTATAATTTCTTGGGCTCTTTTCATAGTTTTCCCCATTTCTTCTTTTGCTTTGATTCAGCTCGATTACACAAATAAAAAACAGAGCTTCACGTTTTCTTTTCTCTACCACCCTTATACACTTCTCTAGACTTTTATAGTTGGTTCATCTCTTCCATTCTTATAAACTTTTCGAGCTCGCTATCGGCTGGCAGTTTTTCTTCACTGCCGTTACTTCGTTTGCTGCCATCTTTCCCGTTCGTGTTCGCCAGCCACAGGGGAATAAGCTGCTGATTCTTCTTACATGTTATCGTGTTGTTTGTGTCAGCATGAGGTGAGCAGTACTCTCCTTCTTTCTTGGCCATCAGTTTGTTGTCTTCCTCTTTAACTTTGTTTAGCTGTCACCTTCTTCCTCTTCTCCATCTTTGTTCGGCTGTCACAGTGGAGGGAGGAGGTTATAGCTTTTTGTCATTTTTTTATCAAAGGGCTGTCGGTAGTGAGTGGGAAAATAATTTTTGTTCCCCTCATTCTCACCTACTGAACATCCATGCATGAAGAAAGTTTAATATCTTACCTCTTCTTTCGGCTCCATGAAGTCTGTTCTGTCTTCTTTTCTTAGGCTATTTAGATTGTAGTTTTTTTCCCTTTTCATGCTATTCGTGAGTCGTGTGTGTGAGTGACAGCTATTACTACATGTTGGTTAAGGTAATTTATAGATTCTCCTTCCTTTCATGAGTGTGGATTCTAGTCTATTGGGTGATCTACTCCTCTTTCTTCAGTGACCAAAAATGTGCTCTGCTTCCCTACTATGTTATTGTTTTAAGGTGGTAGAAATAATTGGGTGGGATGGATTAGATACTATTTTAGTAAATGTTGAGCTAGAACTTGGCAAAAGAAATTAGAAGATGAAAATTATTAGTTTTAATTAAATGCTTGCTTCATGATTTAGTATGGTGCACGTTCTTTTGGCCAATTGTAAATATACTTGAAAGATTTGTGAGTGGAAATAAGATTGTTAAAGTTTATAATAAAGCCTATAGAAATTATAAATATTTATAATAACAAAAAAGATTGTTGAGTTATGTGTTAGATTAATTTTAGGGCATAATTAGAATGAGCAAAGAGTTGTGAGAATTAGACTATAAGATTTTGGAAACTCAAGTGAGTGGATAGCGTTCTGAATAAAATTTTAGAAATTTTTTTAAAAAATTGCTTTGTTTTTAAATTTTTATTATTATTCCCTTATAAATTATCAAAATATCATTTCAATTCAATTTCTATAATAATTATGTCTTAATTTTACAAACAATTTATGTTATTACAACCTAATTATTTAACTTCATGTTAATATGAAAATGAATTTGGGCAATAAGAATTAATGGTTGAACGGTACTTGAAAAAAAATTTTTGAAAATAATTTCTCACTCCATACATACTTGATTATATTGAGAAGGATTAAGCTCAGAATACTGGATGCTAATGATAATCTTTGTAATAACCTTGAAGAAAAAATGGATAATAATAATAAATAAATGCATGATAATTTGTTAAAAGTATATTTTTATTAATGTTTGAAGCAGCTATGACAATGAGGATTGTTGGTTTAGTAGGAGGGTGCATATAGCTTTCTCCATTTGGTCTGGAGTTCAAATCTGGTGGGGTCAAAGAGTTTTATTTTTCTACCTTTTTGCTTTATAAATTTACCCATTTGCCCTCCCTTCAAATTTGAAATGTCTCTTCCCTTATTGCTAGATCATTCGAGACGTGAAGAGTGAGAAAGAGGTGATCTGTTTTCCTTTATTTCCTTCGTTCTTCTTCTGGTTTTTGACTCCTTCTCTTCCATTTTTGGTCATCACCAACGAGAGTACTGTCACCTTTTCTTCCATCCGCCGTTGACAGGTGTTGGGGATTTGTTTATAGCTGCTGAACGTTGACAGAAATCCTTTCGTTCTTCTCTGTTTCAAGTTCACTGTGTATGTCTTGTGAGGTACAGATTGTAGATCCATTTTTCCTTGTGTTACTGTTGGTTTTTTGGTTCTGATCTTGATTAGCGATGCTTTCCTCTCCTCTGTTCTTATTGCCGTAAGGAGTGCGTTGGGTCTCATTCGTCATCCGCTGGGCGTAGCACATTCGACCTCCTCTTCTCTCTTCTTTGTTCATGTTTTTTTAATGGTAAATTTCCTCCCATTATTGGTTCTGCTGTGCGTGTGAGTTTGTGTGTAATTTTGTTGAAGTTTTAAATTTTCCCTCTTTTGTTCTGTTGTTGCCGTGACTACGTAGGACAAGAACTTTTGCTCTGTTGTTGCCGTGACTAGGTAGGAGAAGAAGATCTAAATTAAGTTAAAAAAAATGTATTGAAGCTTAGTGGTGATACATAAGGATTATAATTTTTAAATTAAACCAACTTTTGTTTACATTGGTTGTTACTGAATATTTGGTTAGGATGAAATTGAAGGAAAATAGCTTAGATACTTCAAGCTGGATGCCTATAGAATGTTTGTTAAAATGCTTGTTAAAAGGAGTGCTTGATTGGGAATTCTTAAAAATCTCATTAAATCCCTTGAAAGACATAATTGGTTTAGATGCTATTGTTTGAAGAATTGTACTTACTATTGTCTACAAATGTTTTATTAAATGAAAGTAACATGTAGCTGGTTAAATTCTTTGGAGGTATATGATTATTAAGAAATTGCTGAGCAATTTATGGTGAGATTGAGAATAATATACATTTGGTGTTTAAACAAAAAGTTTAATATGAGATTGTATTTTAACCAAGCATTATGCTATGGCTTTGATGGATTTTTATATGTAGAGTTTCGATTTTAAAATTTCAAATAATTATGACAAAATTTTGATAGTGGTAATATTGGAAGAAAATTATTGAATTTATTGAAAGTTTATTTAAATTCTTAACATGATTTTTAGGGTGTTTGGAAAAGGAAAAATGTGATTAAAACTTAGAGGAAAATTTTGTGTTTTGGGATTTTCAGGTAGGTGAATAACGTCCCAATTAATTTATATGTTATAAAGTTTTCTTTATTAAAATATTATTTTCAATAATTTATAGATATTTGTATATTTCTATTACTTTAGCTACTTTTATTAATTAAATTGTTTTGCTTCTTGCAGTCATGATTTATATTTTTTATATTGATGAAATTCTTTTATAAATTTTGGTGGTCCTATATTTGATAAAGCTAACTATGAAAATTTGTGAATAGTTTATGAGATATTAATTGTGAATTTTCATATTTAGAAGTATTGATGTTTTTATATGTTTCGTGCGAGTTTGATATTAAAAAGAGAAATTATATTTTGAAAAGTAATGATTTTCTCACATGTCTGAAAGTGGATTTAGAAAGGGACCGTATACAGAACGCTAGTTGCTGATGGCAGTTCTGTTAGCCCTTGGCGCACCATGGTCAATTACTAGCTAGTTTGATCTTTGTGAGCTTCGCTCTCATGTTTGTTATTCACGGGTCTTGTACCTGCGTCTGTTTCGTGGCTTCAACCACGTTTGATTACTTATCCTTTGGACTATGTGTCCATGTCTGTTTCATGGCTTTGGCCCCGTCTGGTTATTTGTCCTCGTGGAGTATGTGTCTACATTTGTTAATTATTCTGACAAGTCCTTATAAAAATGAATTTAATTATTTAATAATTTTATATCCTATTGGTTGTTAATTAGTAATCTATTTATAATTACTCATTTCGTTTATTACACTCCTTGAGATCAAGTGATAACAATATTTGGTATGATAATTTAATGGCTTAAGATTTTATCTAAAAGTTATCTAGAATCCTTTTATTTTGAATTTATTTAAATCTTCATGAAGATTGTTGTGCTTTTAATTTACATAATTTCTTTTAACTTTCCTTTTATACATGTTTAATTATTTATTTTGAGACGTTATTCATTGAAAATAATTTTGGTCTAAGATAGAATAGCTGACATTGAACCACCCGTTGAACATTGAGGAGTTTATGAATGACTAGACGTGGAGGAGTTAACGATTAAAGTTTCTCTTGATGTAAAGTTTTAATTATGAGATTTTATTTTGTAAACTTTTGTTAGGTGCTCCATATAGTCTGTGGTTAGATTGTTTATGTTGTTATATATATTTTTGTCTACTAGCTGGAAGAAGCTTTGCTCCTAATTGACTTAATTTTTTTTTATTGAGATATGGTGTTGTAGAATTTTTGGGAGATCCTCTTTATAGAGTATGTTCTGTCGAAATTTCTACAAAAATATTGAAGTATTTTATTAACACCAAAAAAATATTTAAGTATGTTTTAATTCAAATTAAAGCATAATTATGTCTTAGTCATGGAAAGATTACCCGATTTAAGGTCTAAGGGATGTGCGGTGGTTCACATCCTGTGCCGGTCACTCTCTATTTTTGGGGCGTGACACCCTTGGTATGCTATAGTACACCTAACTAGTAGGGTACTTATCAGAGGTGCTAGCCCCGTGCGATGGCCAACAAACGTGGAACAGAGGGATGGTTATTCATGAGTACTGTACTCACACTTATATTTGTAGGCTTGAAACTTGAACGCTTGGTTTATAGCTTCTTCTATGCTTATTTCGTGGCCTTCGGCCTTGCTTGATTGGTTATTTACCCTCGTGGATTGTGTGTCCATGCTTGTTATTCATTCTGATAAAGCACTCCTAAAAGTCTAAGCTAAAATTTATCATTTTTTTTGAAAATTCTCTAAAAGTACTTTATTGAACTATGTTTATTTTAAGTTTTTATATTTTATGAGCAGTAAAATTTTTAATATACATATGTGATTCTAACAATCTTGTCTAAATTTACAATCACATTGTTATGAAAAAACATTATTTATTTTCAATTTTGGATGATTCATTATTTCATGAAGTTATTTGAATTAAAATTTGTTATTTATTATCTTTATATATTTTCTTTATTAAAATTTGAATCGGGACGCTACTCACCAGTAAATTTTTGGTCTCAGATATTATAGCTGACCCTGCGTCTCAAACCGACCATTGAGGGTCCTTCTTACTTTTTGGATAAAGGAAGCACATGGTGATTTCTATTTTTGGTGAAATCTTATATTGTATTTTGTAAATTATAAATTAGTGCTTCACATACCTCATAGTTGGATCCTAGTTTTATTTTGTTATTGTGAGAATTGCTGGAATGGAGCTAGTCTCCTTGTTGGTCTGATTGGCAAGTTTTTGTAGTTGTTGTAAAAATTTTGTGAAGTTCAAATTATAGAGGAGATTCTGTCAAAATTTCTACAAAACTTTAAAAACTTTACTATTATATATAACTTACATATATCGCTAATTTAGCTTAATTTCTAGATAATCAAAGTTTAAGGAATGTGGGTTCATTACATATTTCATGCCAATCATACCTTTAGTACTGGGGTGTGATGGCATGATATAGAGAAGGTTAAGGCACGTGGCTTTGTGCCACATGTCGCGGCACATGACCCATAATCTGACTTGTTTTACTCATTTTAAAGGCATGCAATGATTGATATGAAAGCATATGACTTGTTTCCATTGTGTAATGCTTTGATGTGTTACACATGTAATGATTAATGATTTTGATGATTTTGCAAAACAAGTCTTGAACCCAAACTTTTCAAAAAGGTATTTGATTATTGTTTTGGTTTTAAGGTGGTGATGATTAAGTTGATCCTTTCTTATATTTGATAGATATAGAGGAGGGTTACATGTTATAGGGACATTATGGCATAAATATCAATTTTTCTTTATCTTTAATCTTTACTTACATGCAACATTTTGACTCTTGATTTGGACCACCTTAAACACAACATAGCGCCATTAACGTAATTTTAGTTGAAGTAATCAATTCTTTCCACAAGATGCTATCAATTCTCCCTTCTCATATTCAAAAGCATTTTTCTTTTCTTTTTATGAAATAATACTCTCATTTTTCTCAAAATTACTTAGATGACTCTAAATTAAATCCAAAACCCCCTAATAACATATAAAAATATATGGAGTAATCAAGAGGGTGGGGCGTGAGCGGGCATGCACAGAGGGAGGGAGGGAGGGAGGATTTAGTTAGCAAAAAAAGTATAAAAATTGATGAAAAAGTTTGAGGTCGAGAGTGATCCTTAACCCATTTAAAAATAGTTTTAGAATTAAAAAATTAACTGATAGTGATAGTAATCTACAATTAATGATAGTGACTTATGAAAATAATTAGCCATAGTAACTATAAGTTTTAATAATCAAATATAATATATTTTAAATAAAAAAATGAAAACAGCTCTCACATCTTTTTTAAAAACAAAAAAACTGCTTTTGAAATAAAAAACAAAACATGTCCTTAATTAGTTGGTAAAATTTTCATAAGTACAAATATCAAGGGGCCCCCATGTGGACGTTATTTGATTTCTGAATTTTTGGACCTGTATGTCAGGTCCACATGTTATTAAAAAAGAGTCAATGCTATAAATCAATTGGAATAAAATAAATCAGTTTTTAGCCTGAAATCAAATAAATAAATTGGAATCAAACATTTCTTCTGTTCTATGCTTTCATTTATCGTTGAATATTTCCTTTAATTTATCATGACAAAACAATATGTGATATGATTAGGGGGAAAAGTTATGCCCCAAAATGTGCAGAATTTTAACTAAATTAAATATTGTTTGAAACCGCTGTAACTTTTATCCTCTTACTCGAGATGGAAAAAAAAAAAAACCGGAAATCCAACTTATGGTAAAAAAAATAAAAAATAAAAAACAAAAGAACGCTACTTTTATTGGTAAATTCATGACTCACTGACATACAACCAATCAAATTCACCCTCTAGAGTAAGAATGTGAATAAAAAATTGAAGTATAAGCCTTTTCTTTTGTTTATGCGTGTATTGTTTCTTGCTTTTCCCTTCCCAAATCAGTCAAATAAATCCCTCCTTAAGCTGTTGCAGTAGTGGAGTTCACAGCTTTCATGGAATCAAACCTTGGTTCCTTAGCCTGATACTTGAGTGCAGCATAGAGCTTCATGCCATAAGATTGCATGTGGGGGTAGGTGGGGTGTAGTGAGCAATCGGCAGATATCATGGGAGACGGAGGAGAATGATAAGTTAAGGGCAAAGGAATTCAATAGAGACATGGAACTCACTTCCATGGGGTAAGGTAAGGAAATCACTTCCATCATTTTTTATGGAAGTAGGTTCTCTAGAGAATTGGCTTCCCTTGTAACAAGCATACAAAATTACTAATTTCACTTTCACTTTCACTTCTCTCTCTCTAATTCCATAGTACCAAATAGGCCATTAGTCTTTAAGAGTTATAATAATTTGATTGTAGCTTGAATAACCATTCAAAAAATAAAAGAAATTCTTACCAGCTAATTAGTTTAAAATTTGGTTAATGAAAAGGAAGCGAGAAGTGATCCTTTCTTGTGGCATTATTTAGCCTCCAGTAATCTTTACAAGTGTGCAATCTAGTAATTGTTCAAGTCAAAACTAACTAGTTCTATTTATTGGTAACTATTGTCATTCCTCCTTTCTTGAGAACACATTGTACCGGGCTTACCCATGTACTATTAGAAATGGGATAGATTATCCTATCACTTAATCAGTTGGGTATTTTCTTTTTGGCCACCTTTTTTATCATAGGGTTCAACCTCCACTGTTATTCCTTCTATCTACATAATCGAGTATTTCTTATGATCTTTTTCTAACAAAATCTTGTGAATAACAATAGTTGGACTTATACCTCTCATGTCTATAATTGTGCATCCTAAGGCTTACTTGTGATCCCAAAGAACTCTCAGTAACCTCTCTTTTTGATAGTTAGACAAAGCAAAAGATATAATAATTGTCAATGTCTCATATTCACTCAGATAAGCATAAGTAAGTTGTGGTGGTAAAGGGTTAAGCTCTAATGTTGGTGCTTGTTCAATTGAAGGCTTTAACGAGGGAGCTTGTCTAGTTTTCATCTCTAAATATTTACACCTTTTGGCGTTGAGGTAATGTGGGGATGCTTGAAGGAGCTTCTTGCACTCAACAATATCACTATCTTCAACTTCATTAATCCCAAATAGCAAAGCTTATAATGGTTCTCTTACCACAAATGACTCTAAAGTCTCTTGAATCACCTCATTAAGAACATCCACTTTAAGACAATTTTTAGATTCCTCAAGATATTTTGTTGCTTTTTGCATGTAAAAGAAACTTTTTAATCTTTTACTCTAAGTTTTATCTCTCCCTCTCATAGTAATTATAGGTTTTAATAATTAAATATAATGTATTTTGAATACAAGAAAAATAAAATGAAAATAGCTCTAAGATGTTTCTTTTTTTATTTTTGAAAATGAAAAATGAGAACGATTTTGGAAATAATTAAGATTCAAAACACTCAATCAAATAAGTTTTTAAATTTCTTTATTCTTTTTAAAAACTATTTTTGAAAACAAAAATCGAACAAGTGCTTAATTAGTTAATTAGTAAAATTTTTATATATTTTGTCATAAAGCTACAATTGAAGGTACAAATTTGGAAGGGGCCCTCCATGTGGACTTTATTTGTTCTCTCAATTTTTGGACTTGTGTGTCAGGTCCACATCTTATTATTAAGAGAGAGAGAGAATCATTATGGAGAGAGAAAAAAGCTTCAATGCTATAAATAAATTGGAATAAAATAATTTTTTTGCCTGAAATCAAATAAATAAATTGGAATCATACATTTCCTATGTCTTCTGCTTTATTTATCATTGAATATTTCTGTTTTTCTAATTACAAGAGGCAAACCTAAGCTTGAGAAATAATCAGACTAAAAACATGTCAAGAGCATATTGCTCAGCACAGATATTCGGGACAGATAAATGACGAACAAAGTCAATACTTCTGTAGCGAGCATCCTTGGCTAGTTATCAGCGTAAGTGAGCATATCTCTGGGTGAAAATCTTAGTTCATATCTCTGGCCAGTAGACATAATCAGATGTCATTGATTGTAGACCACAGTGCATGTCGAGGATTTCCATCTCTAAAAATAAGATTAATTCCATCGAATATTTCCTTCGATTTATCATGATAGAGCATGCGATATGATTACGGGGAAAAGTTGTTCATGTTCCAAAATTCAGAAGTTTAACTAAATTAAATATTGCTTGAAACTGCAGTCAACTTTTATTCTCTTACTCGAGAACAAAGAAAAACCAGAAATCCAACAAATGGAAAAAAAAAAAAAAAAAGAGAACGCTACTGTTAATGACAAATTCATGACGACGTACAACCAATAAAATTCACCCTCTCTATAGTAAGAATGTGAATAAAAAATTTAAGTCATCATAAGCCTTTTTTTTTTTTGGGTTTATGTGTGTATTATTTCTTGCTTTTCCCTTCCCAAAATCAGTAGTTATAAGTCCTTCCTTAAGCTGTTGCAGTAGTAGTGTTCACAGCTTTCATGGCATCAAACCTTGGTTCCTTAGCCTGAAACTTGAGCGCAGCATAGAGCTTCATGTAATCCTCAAACACAAATTTTGGATACATTTGATTGGTTCCTTCTTCCTTTCCTTCAATCAATGGTGGTGCTGGATGTATAATAGCATCACTTCCTGGATTGTAGAATGAAGCTACAGACATCCTTGTCCCATTACTCTGGGTAATAACACGATGCTCCACACTCTTGTACTTCCCATTTGTGATTACCTGTTTGTTCAAGAGAAATTGCCTGTTACTTGTGTATCAAGAAATTGTTTATCACAAATTGTCTGTTATTTTTATATCTCTATCTAGCTGTACAGGTTGTATTGATGGAGAGAATGTTGGGCCCAAAGATCACCTCAGAAGGGAAGAACACATCCGAGACGAGACAAACACTTCCAAGAGGATCATATAAGTGATTATAATATCACATATTAACCCAAAACAATTAATCAAATCTATGACTAAAACATATTCCTTTAATGCAGTGATATCAACGGTTATAATTGGGAAGTGGTGGGAAAATGGTGATAAGGAAATGGAGAAGTTCCTCTCCCTTGAATTTATGGATCTTTTTTACTTATATACCTCTTATATATCCAACACAACTTCATCCAATGTGAGACATTTTTCCCTCATACCAAACTCATGCTTGACATCCCAACAAAGAATGCTAAGTATACTATCTATCATAAAAAAAGATTAAATTGGGTGGTGTAATATTTTAAATAATAATATTTAAAATATTAAATATTAAAATAATTAATATTTTAATAATATTTATTTTATTTTATTTTAACGAGACTTTAGGGTGCCTAGCGCTCTTAGAAAAAAAAATTTAGGATGCTTAGCCCTCATAAAATAAAGAGTTCAGGGACAAATTAACATCAAAGGATATGGTCAAAGTTTTATCTGTCATTGTACATGAGCCCTATACACATGTCACGTTAGCAAAAAATGAAAAAATTAATGGTTGATTAATGAAAGTAGGTTTTTGCTCCTAAAAAAAAAAAAAGTTCAGGTCTAAAATTGCCTCACTTAAAAGTATAAGATGTCTAGTGCTCCTAAAAAATATTCATATTGAACATTAACCCTTATATTTAATACCTCAATTTGGTCACCGAGGTTTACGACGATTGAGTGGCGCATTGGAGGCACATTGATCCACTGGCCGTCTTTGAGAAGTTGGAGGCCACTAACTTTGTCATCTTGGAAGAGAAGGATGATGCCGCCAGCATCGGTATGGGCACGAAGACCCTTCACAAGTTCTGGGTTAGGGCAAGGAGGGTAGTTGGCAACCTTTGTGCCAAAAGTTGGTCCTCTTGATCCATAGAAGGCCTTCTTGAGATAGCCCTTCTCTAGTCCAAGATTCTCACAAAGCAAATCAAGTAGTTCCTCTGCAAGCCTTTGTATTTGTTCTGCAAATTCCTTCATTAACTTCCTGCATTTCAATTCTAGTAGTTCAGAATATGTGCAAGTACTTTTGCCCATTTATATATATATATATATATATATTTGTTGTCATTGCTGATTTATATATCTTATTGTGCTTTCTATATAATATTTCCAAAGCATGTATGGATACGTATAATAAACATGACAACTTAAAATGTAGTAGAGAAAAACAATCATCTTTATTTTTCAAACTGTGAATGCGTCAGTTTGATATGTTTGAGATAAAATCCAAATCGAGTGTATGTAAGAAAAAGTGGATGTGATATCTATTGAGGGAGACTATGATAGAAAATCATTTGAGATGATTTGATTATGCACAAAAGACTGTGGAGGAACTTGTGAGAAGAGTAAAATGGATAGTTTTTAAACCTGTAAAAAGGGGTAGAGGAAAATCAAAGAGAATAAGAAAGTTGTTGAATGAGACTTTTTAATCAACAATACTTCTAAAGGCTTAGTTGATAATAGAGCATAATGATGTCTTTAAATTCATATAGATAACCCCACCTAGTGGGATAAGACTTATTGTTGAATGCTTACATTTGGTTAAATATGATCATGTTGTTGTTAGTAAACAACACGTGTATTGTGCTAACCTATATTCATCAGTGAGATCTGGGATTTCACAGAAGTTTGACTCAGGCAAGTGACGCAAGAAGAAGGTGCTTTCCCAGTCCATGTCCTTAACTTCAGCTTGAATACCCCCTATGGCTTTGCTTGCCACAAACTCCTTGAACCTTCTCTCCATGCATTTCCTATAATGCTCTTTTGTTAACGTCTCCACTGTATCCAATAGTTCATGGGATATCCCATGGTTCACCAACTACAACAAAAAACAATGAGATTTTCTTTAATAATTCCCACCAAATTAACTAAAATTATTAATCACAAATATGCATAGATAATTAAATACCTCAAAAAATCCCCAATTCTCACAAGCGTCATGAATTTTGTCCATAGTAGCCTTTCTCTCTTCGCCATTAAGCTTCTCCAAGTTGATTACTGGGAAGTTCTCCATTTTCCAAACACTCAAACTCTCTTGATATATATTTCTTAGTGTCTGAGATATATATCTGTATCAGATGCTGTGTTGTTTTTCCAAGCAAAGTGTATGGTATTTATAGATAGGATATGAGTTCAAAGACTGGGAAGAAGGAAGCACGAAACTGCGCTAAAAAGGACAGTGATCATGTGACTTAAACGCTTACATAATCTGACCGTTGAACAGATTAATTTGCGTTTTTGAATTTTCCACGGATAATTTGGGGTCTGCTTGAGCGTAACATAACGCGTTGTAATTATTGCCTTCATTACTGTATTGGTTTTGGATTATCTTTGTTTCATTTCTTGGAAGGTGGCAAAAGTTATTAGTGGTCTAAATTGTCTCAATTACTTCTTCTAAGTGTCTCGTCGAAGAACGAATCATGCATACGTAAGCAAGTATGTATTTACATTTAATGAACAAATTTTACCTTATGCCAGTTTTTTTTTTAAAGTATTTTTTTCATTTTATTATTTTTATTAAAATACAAAATCTTCCTTTTTTTTATTAAAAGAAGCAGATTAAACGTAATGAAATTTACATAATATCAACATCAAGGATTTCAATCCGCATTTTATATACTCCTTCCTATAATTTTATGATATTTTCAAGTAAATTACTCATGCCAAATAAAGTTAGTTATGTGGTTAACGTTATCTAAAAATAATCCAATAATGTATTTTTTGGTCCTATAACTATTAATTTGAACAATGAAAATATCATTTCTACATTTACTATTGGCCTGCAAAAAATATTTAGAGATGAGAATGTCTAATTATTCTTATAAAAATGAATGTCTAATTATTAAAGAATACACATTAAACACACTTTATATTATGGAAATTATCTTGAAAGCCCCTCATATAAGGATCAAGCAATTTTTTTTTTTTGGGGATGAAAAGGATCAAGAAATTTTAAATAGTTATATATTTATAAAAAGTGATTTTATTTTTTATAGATACTATAAAAGGTAAAAATTATTTTTCGTTTAATAAGAATTATTTAAAATGGTTAATATTTAAATATTTTAAGATTTTATATTTTTTTCAATCTTTGTTTATTAATTTTAGGAAAAATTTTAAAATAATAAAAAATTAAATTTTTTCATATCTTTAGTATTTTTAAAATTTAAAATAAATATATTAATTCTTTAAAAAAATTGATTTATTACAAAAACAAGTGATTTTTCCTTTGAAAAAAGATTAAAGAAATGGATGCCAAAATTACCAAAATTATGAATATCACGTGCACTAAGTATAGCTTTGAAAATAATAAAATTTTATATGTTTGAAATAAATAGCGTAATATAATTGTAATATTAATTTTAAATAGTATTAAATTATTTTCTATTATATTTTCTTGCTCAATATGCATAAATAAGCAAGGGTCAAGGGAGGGAGCCAATAAGGGCTACTCCCCTAATTTTTAAATTATTTCTAATATTGCATGGATGTTACATGCTTCTATCTCTTCAAAACTTATAAAAGTTTTGAAGTACATATGTTTTTCAATATTGGTTCCCCTTATTGTTAATTAACTTGATCATTAATTCATTTAACTTATGATAAATAGATAATAGCGAAAATGACAACAAAATTCTTCTAAATTATAAAAAAATAATTTGATCTCTTGAAATGTTATAATTATAATGAAATCCTTAAAGATCTTAGTATTAATAAATTTTAAAACAAAAATATTATTTTATCTTTATTGAAAATAACAAGTCCCCAATTATAACTTTTGTTCTGTAAATTGTAAGAATTGAATAACAAATCACAACTTATCAAGTATAACTTTCATTATTAAAAAAACAAGCCCTAAACATAAATTTTTCTTGAAGAATAACGATTTTGAATTTGTAAATTATAAAAATTGAATAAGAAATCACAATTTGTCAAGTATAATTTCTACTTTTAAAAAATAAGTTCTCAAAATAAAAACCCCATTCATAACTTTTGTTTAAAAAATTATAACTTTTATTCAAAAAATCGTAAGAATTGAGCAAGAAATTATAATTGTCAATAAGACTAAAATAGTTTTTTTAATTTAAAATTTATTAACAAAGAATTTTCTAGGAACTTCAGTATAATTATAATATTTTGAGAGATTAAATTATTATTTATATAATTCAAATAAATTTTATTATCATTTTTCTTAGATAATATCATCTCAACCAAAAGAATAAAATATTAATATCATAATAGAAAAAGTTATCATGTCCTGTCAATAATAAGACATTTTTATCTATATATTGCCCCAAATTTTAAAATAAGTTGCATTGTTATTTATAAACTATATAACTTGTAAATAATGTCTGGTTTATTATAGATTTCATTATATCAACTTGATATTAATATTAGATTCAATAACTTCAGTAGTCATAAATTGCGAATTATTTTATTTGGCCATAAAATATATTATATTAAAACATTAAAACGCATTACAACAAATTAAAAGGAAATCATATCAGATTTCTTCCAAACATACACATTGTGAATAATATTATTTGTTTTCACCTTAATTTCCATCTGTACATGTATGTAAGGGATGACCTAATTGTAATTCATTTATAAATTTTATATGACATAATAGTCAAGTAGAAAAGGGATTGGCAGGTTTGCCAGCACATGTCATGACTTCTCCCTACCAACGCCGCCCAAAAAAAAAAAATATTATCCCACATCGTATTCTTCTTCTTCTTCTTTCATTCCATCATCTATATGTCTTGAGAAAACTGGTAGAATTTTGAACACCTGTTGTGTATGATCGTTCTAGGTAGCTTCATGGATATCTTAAGAATACCTTTGACATATTTATTTAATATAACTGCATATTCCAAAACTTGAATTCAAGACCCCAGAATGGGCTGATTTTGAATCTCTTGACTAGCTAGTTGAACTATATACTCCTCAATAATATATTCTTCTATTTTGAATCTCGTCAATCCACATGCTAAATTAAATTTGCTATCATGTGCAGTGACTGTGTTGGAATATAGTTCACCCGATGAATTGAACCATATAATGAAACTCAATCTAATATTTAACATTGGATTAATTATTTATTTAATCAAAATAATTATGGGTTGGTAGTTACATAGTTTTAAGAGAGAGCAATTTTTGTATAATCTCAAAAACTACCCAGTAAAATCCGGGTCTCTACGTGTAGTAAAAGAGAAATTTTATCATCATCGGAGGTATGTTGTTAGAATCTAAATTCCTACAATTTGAAAATTTTGGAAAGTTAATTCATGAAGAAAAGTGTGAGCGAATTAAGCGATGAAGTCAGATTATGAACTAAATTCAAAATAAAATTTGTTTTTGAATCTTTAACTAATGAGTGAGAACTCGTGGGCCTTTCTTCCTTACTGCAGAAAATCAAAGTCCCTTTGGACTAAACGACGGCTAAATCTTGTCACGTTGCATGATTGAACGGAAAGCTAAGAATTGCGCTATGACTACAATTATAATTAATAATCACATTTATGTTTTGGCGCTATTCCAAATATGAAAAGCATAGACATGTACCGTGTGCGTTGTTGTTTTCTACCACGTCCAATTTCTATACTCTCAATCAATTTTGTTCAAAATTTGCATTAAAAAGTCATTAATTGCACCCTACACCTGATTCACAAGAAATGCATAGTGGTCTCATTTCCAACATTTTTTTTCTGTTTGCCTTTGGGAAAATTCAGCAAAGGAGACAAGTTCATGCATCCTTTCCTATGTTCTTTCATTCTTTCTTTCTTTTCTTTTTCCTCAAAGACAAGGCCCTCCACTTCTCTCATCTTCAGTGTTTCCAATACGCGAAGGCCAAACATGTGATTGTTGGTTGGTAGGATTTGACTCTTTGTCGTCTTAGGAGATTTTTGCCACCGTATGTTTGAATCCTTTTACTTTTCATCATTCACGCCATCCAACTTATCCTTCAAGACAGAAGGTTTTCATTTTTTTTAAGACTTAGAATAACAATTTGACCCTCAAATTATAAATCCAAGATTCTCTAGGAACCTACACTAGTTTTATATATATATTTTCCTTTAATTTTTAAAAAATAATACAATATTACCTTTATCATTAATAAAATTTAACTTTAACCTTCAGTTAACTTAAAAATAATATCAAAAATTACAGGAAATGATCAAGAAAATTCTCTTAGTCCTTTCCCATAATTTTTGAGATCATTGTTTGTAACTTTTGGATTCTTTTTATAATTTTTTAATTTTTTGTCATTTTCTAGTCAATTAATTATTAAAATTAATTTTTATTAACACCGTAGGGACTATATTATATCGTTTTTAAAAGTTAGAGGTAATATTGTACAAAAAAGAGTCACTACTAAAAATAGTGGTAATTTTTTCTACTATATATAGCAGTTTTTAACGGCTATATGGTTAGGCACTATATAATTCAAGATCAACTATATAATAATTATTTTCAAAAAATATTGTTTCTTTTTTCAATTTTTGGTTCAATGATTCTATCGATAAACTATTTAGTGATTACTTCAAATAAAATTTGCTAAAAAATAAATTATTTTAAATAAACTACTAAATAATTTCAAAATATTCAACAATTATTTCAAAAAATAGTTAAATAGTTTTTCTTAATTTTGGTTAATTTTCAATAGGATATGCTCGGAACTATTTAGTGGTTATTTTTAAATAACCACTAAATAGTTGTGTCTATGAAGTGTTATTTAAAATAACCATTAAATATATTGAACTAAATATTGTAGATATTGTGAAATAACGGCATTGTACTTTAATGTTTTTTATAACACAGGGCTGCACTTTGAACAACCTCCTTGCAAAAGAAAATACAAAGACATCCAGAAAATGTACCAACATCAAATTTTAACCAAAATTCATATGCAGTTAATTATTCAAATCTAGCTATAATAACTACTACCATGCCAGCAACAAAAGAAATTCATGAAAGAAATTGTTACTATAATAGAAAAAGTTTGAATTTCACTAAATAGAAAAGAAATAAATGAGCAAATTGGCTCTTAAATTTTTGACCTACAAGTATTTAGAATCCTAAACTCAGTTTTTGTAAAATATTTTTTTGAAAATAATGTAATATGATCCCTGCTGTTAACGAAAGTTAAATTTAACCATTATTTGACTACAAAATGACAAAAAAGAACAACAAAAATTACAGAAAAGGACAATTTTTCTTGATCCTTTTTTGTAATTTTTTTTAGGTCCTTATCTATAAATTTGGATTCTTTTTTTATAATTTTTAAGATCATTTTCTAACTACCTAATAGTAAAAATTAACTTTTATTAATAACAAAAGTCAAATTGCATCATTTTTAAAAGTTGTAGAAAAATATTACACAAACTATGAGTTTAGGATCTTAGAATCTTCTGAACCTATAGCCTAAAGACCAATTGACCCATTTATCCTAAAAAATATCTTAACTTTGGGAAAACCTTTACAGCACTAGTAAAAAAAAAAATTCAAATTATATCCAAAAAATTCTACCAGGGTAGTTACGGAATCTACTCATCTTCATACAAGAATTTAAAGAGAAGCAATCCTAATGAATGATCAAAGCATAGAACCATGAAAGGACTTGCCTCATTAATTCAAAAAATAAGTGAAATTAATTTGAGTAAGTATTTAGAATCATTAAGAATCATTAACGTAAAAATAGTGAAACAATGTCAAAATGGGCAAACTAGAACTTCCCACCGCGGCACATGTATACTTTGCCCTGATAGAAGACACATAGAGGGAAGTTTTGCATATACGCTGTCATATCTAGCATTTTGCATATCAATTAGTGGGGAATATAAAGAATAAAGAGTTAAATAAAGATATTAGATTGAAGACGATAGAATATAAGAAATTATTATCAGAAGATTGTAATTAATATATTGGACCAAGATGTTCATAAAATATTGAGTAATAAATAAGGATAATTTTTTGGAGGCTCGAAGAAAATGTAATTCTTCCAAAAAATCACAAAATAATATAATCAAAATCGATTCAAGAAATAAGAAAATTGGAATATGAAAGAACTAAATATTTGAAAGAAATTATGTTAATATTAATGATTAAAAAATATTCAAAACAATTAATCATAATACTTGAAATGTTAGGGACTTTTAAAAATATCACCATCTTCTTCCCACAATATTTCAACAATATTATTTAAAAAACAAAAAGCCCAAGTGATCCTAAAGAAGAAGAATAGAGTTTACTTTCAGAAAAATGGGTGTTAGATATTTCAAATTTGCTTGGTTATATTTTATGCCTATGGATTGGTAGGAGTTAAAGGAATCAGGAGCTTTGGTGTGATGGGCTTAAGGATCAGTAGAATTCAAGTGAATTAAACCAGCAACAACTCCGTTCCTTCTACAAATGTTCTTTAACACACACACACACACACACTATAAAAAAAAAGAGGAGCTATTCTAAATGGTGTGGCGGCAACAGGGGAGGAAGTAATAAAAGGAAAACTAGATAATGCGATGATTAAGGTCAGTTTCTTTTTATTGGGCTCTGATTCAATGTACGTTCCAATTAGTGTTGTCAAATTTTTTTAGCATCGGTTATTGTCACATTCTAAAAATTAAACATGATTGACATGGCACAAACATACAAGCATACATTCATTAAGTCATAATTAAGAAAACTTTACTCTAATACTTTAATTCATTTAAAATAAGATGAAAAGTCATTATAATATTTTTATATAAATAAAGTATTCTTAAATTTTTTATAAAAATTTTGACAAAACCTTCACCGTAAATAAAACTTTCCAAAGTGTTTACAACATCAATGTACAATCCAAATTAGAAATGCAAAGCTTTGCTCCTTCACAACAGATAGACAAATAAATAACATATCAAAATCCTATTTATAGTTAACATAGAGCATCTAATCATAATTTTAAAGCATAACACATAATTAAATATTTACATCAAAATGAAAGTATCCTCAAAAGGTCTTCTCATCAATTCAACAATGAGCCCCTCAAAGATCAACAAGTGGTAGATCATCGACTAACTATTTAAAACCAAAAATATTTTTCAGTGAATAATGTCCCAACAATAAACAATTGACCATGAATAAAATGAAAGTTTGAAGCAATTATGCAAGTTAAATAGACAACAATTTTGATAAAAATTTAGCAAACTTCGGAATAAAATGACTCTATATAACTTTAAATAAAATCTTAAATCAATAAATTATTAGATCAAATATTATTATAACTTATGTCAAGAAAGCAAATAAACAAAATAAATAATTATAAATAAATTATTAATTAAAAACTAATGGAATATAAAATCACCAAATAATCAAATTTATAATTATAGAAATTTATCAAAACAATTAACAAACGTGAAAATATAGTTTACGAAAATAAATAACCAAATACGGCTAATGCCACAAAAGCAAACGTGAATAACAGTTCATGAGATTAACTAACCAAATGTAGTTAAAGCCATAAAACAAACATAGGTGCGAGACTCATAAATAACAAACGTGAGAACAAAGTTCATTAAAATCAAATTAGCTAATTGTCAATCATGGTGCATCAAGAGTTAATAAGATTGCCGTTAACAACCAGTATTTTATATAAAGTCCCTTCAAAAATTAATTTTCAAATATGTGAAAAAAATAATCATTATCAAATTAAAATTTTCGCTTCATCATATCAAACTCACATGAATTATATAAACACCATTTCTTCTCAATATAAAAACTAAAACTCTTTCACGAATTTTTGTGATTGTCTTTGTCAAATAAAGGATTATTAAAACTTGTAAGGCAAACAATTTCATCATTGTTGTAAGCACATCACATGATTTTAAGAAATAGAGTTATTCAATCAACAAAAATAATCCATGCACACACACACATAATCATGAATTATTGAAAATAATGTCTTGATAAAAAGAACTTTGCTAATAAATTATTCAAGATGTTATCGACTTACTTGAACTTAAGACAATAATTTATTCCTTCTAAAGCACACCTCTCTCAATTCTCCCTTAACTACTCTATACTTTATTACCTAGACAAGAAGAATAAATAACTTTATAATGACTCTACTTTTTACATCTTCAACAATAGACATTCATTTCTTCCACCATTCTCTCCAGTACACAAAGTTATAATATTTCACCAACACATAATTTAAATAAACATTAGCTTTGTTTATACATGCAGTCTCTTCCCAACATCTAACTTGAAACCTTAGCTTCCATTTTAAATATTTAAAGATTTGAATAACTACAATATGCTGTATTATCTTTATAATCAAATTTTTATATGATGCAAAACTCAATTTATAAGATATTAGCATCCAAACTATTTAAGTCTTCCAAAGAATTTAATAAAAATTTAGAAATTACACAATAAAACAATTTCCTTTAACAAGCATTTTATCAAATATCTTATAAACACCAATATTCAAATTTCATGTTCAAATTCTTCTATCCAAATCTCATCCTAACTAATTATTCACCACCAACCAATCTAACCAAAACTAATTTAACTCAAAAATCTGATCCATACTTATCATAATTATGCTTCCAATACATAAAATTCAGCTTAATTTCCATTTTTATTTTCTTCCCCAAACAGGAATTTAAGAGAGGAATTGCAACTTCAACTCTATCACATCTTACACTCACACGCACAGATTTTTATTTTTATTTTTCAAGGGAGAAGAAGAAATCATGGTTTCTCACCTCAAAGCAACAACAGGACAGGGAAGAAATCCCACGCTAAGACACAAACAGAGAAGGGAGAAGACGCATCAGAACTCTAAAGCAGAACCAAGAAAGCATCAACGGCCACAGAGAAAAAAAAAAACTCGCAGCTGTACCTCAACATCGGCACTTTACGGCGAGCACGGCATAGGGATGAAGAAGATGAAGCTCGCGACTGAAGAGGGGAGGGAAAGTCTCAGCAAGCAGAATCCTATAGCTCTGGCAACCTAGCTCACCATACAGCAACGGCGCAACTTACAGGGATGACAGGACAGAGGCGAGGAGAACGACGGTAGAAGGCTTGAGCTAAACAACATCAAAGAAGCAGAAAAAAAGTAACGACAGCGAACTCACGGCAGAGTTGAGGCCCTCGCTGGCGACGCTGTGATGATGGAGAAAGGCCAAGGAATTGACGGAGGGTGAGAGGATGATCAGAGCTCTGTCTCTGTCAGTGGGTTCTAGAGAAATCGAAGAAGAAATGAGGAAAATATGAGGTTCACGAGTTCAATTTACTGATCCAAATAAGGGGCCCAAACGGTAAATTTAACCACAAGCTAAAACAAAAAAATAAAAATAAAATAAAATTCCTCTTCTGCTTCCGTGAGAGTTCGATCGGAGGACCTGGGAAGCGAAGAGACAAACCCCTAGGCCACCAGCACCTTGCTAAGTGTTTTCCAACCAATAATAAAAATATAGTAATTTATATTTTCTAGGTTATTACAGTTCCTGCCACGTGGCAAAAGTTGAAGTGATCTAAATTGTCTCAAATCTTCCAATGGTCTTGTCGAAGAAGAAAAACTTGCATATGGTAACTCTGTATGTTCATTTAACCATTTAAACTTCACCTTAAACGACTGACATAATGATGAAAATAAAAAAACGCGCGCGCGCGCGCGAGAGAGAAAATGAGTGACCTATGCAAGTTTCTTTTTTTTTTTTTTCCTGCAAAGTAATTATAAAATATAGAATACATTAACTTATATAATATACTTCCTTCAATTTTATTTATAAACTGAAAAGAAAAGATTTTTTTTCTATTAATAAGTTACATAATTAAATTTTTATCATAAATTTATCCTTTTGACCCTCCTTTTGTCAATATCCTTCTACCTACATTAAATGTTAGCGAAAGAAAACACATTATTAAAGCATGTATATTTAATATAAACAAAGTTAGAAACTTGTTAAATTTTTAAATAAAATTAATGAGTTTAAAATTAAGTTTTTTAGCTTCAAGTAAAATATATTAAAAGTGATTTATAGATAGAGTTAAAGGAATACACAAGATGTAATGTGAACAATGCACCTTATTTTTTTATACTTTGTGAGCCTACCTAATTAATATTAGTATTCATGATAAGTATAACTCTGGGTTTCAAAAACCTTTTTCATCTTATTTCTTTTCATATGATGTTTTTATTCAGCTAATTAAATGTTTTTAGACCAATATTTTGTTAAGTAAGTTGGTACCCAAAAGGAGGTAAATTGTGTATTCTTAAATTTTTCAAAACTTTTTTCCCAATAAAATAGTGAAAATATATTTTCAATAAAACAGTAGATGAAAAAAGTTTAATGCAAATAAAGTTTAGAGAGAAAATCTATACACAGGATTTATATCGATTCAACCTAACAGCTCAGCTTATGTCTAGTATTCAAGATTATACTTGAATTCACTAAAATCCACAAGCTCAATCGAGTGCTTGTAACCTCAATTGAGTTCACTAAAACTCTTAAAAGAATAGATAAAATACAATTAAAAGTTTATTAACCAAAACTATAAGCTTTTTGCAAATAATGAATGCAAGTAGGTAGATGGCAGTTAATGCACATTATACTTGTTGCCTACTCTAAAGTGAAATTATATATATAGTATGTCTTCTCTTGTTGTCACACCTCAGTATTTAGGGTATGGCCGACACGAAATGTATGATAAACTCACATTCTATAAGCCTCAAATAATTAAAAAATTAATTTAAAATAACAATATAATTTATATCTAAATTTAAAATTCATAAAGTTTTGATCATTTTATAGAAATTTCGATAAAATCTCCTTAGTAATAAGAACCTCACCAAAATTTCTACGATGATAAAAAATTGTCAGCCAAACCAGAAAGGGAGTTTAACTCCACACCAGCAAATTTCACATTGATAAAATAAGACTAGAACCTAACTACTATTTACATGGAGCCCTAAGTTAATATTTCATAATACAAAATATATTTATATCAAAACTAACTAATGCATACTTTCACGGTTCCAAAAAGCAATGGTATTCCTCAATGATCAGCAGAAGGTACAGGGTCAATTTCAATATCTAAGATTAAAGAAATTTTTTTCCTGCTAAGTAGCGTCCCAATTTACAGTTGAAAGAAATAATGGAAAGCAATCAATGAGTCAATTATAAATATACAAAAATAATTAATTAAAATAATGCAAACCATGAATACATAATACAAATAAAAATTTATAAATCTTAAATTTCCTCTCTCTCTCTCTCTCTTTCCTACAAATACTTAAACATCTTGGGATAGATATATATATATATATATCACGATATGAAATTCTTATACAGTAAAATAGCAGTTTGCTTTTTGAGATCAAATTTAAAGAAATTGGTTTCAAAATTCTATCTTTAGTGGGATTTAATCAGAATGATTAACAAGCGTTGACACATAATTCATGAGGGTAAATAACCAACAAATGTAGATACACAGTTCACAAGAATAAATCACCAACAAGCGCAACTTAAAGCCATGAAATAATCAAGTATGACTAGAAGCCACGAAAGAAGCACAGTCACTAAACCCACAAAATAAGTGTAAGTACAATGCTCACGAATATTCATCCCTCCATTCTACGTGCGTTGGCTTGCACATGGGGTAGCATCTCCTACAAGCACCTTGCTAGTTAGATGTACCATGGTGCACCAAGAGCTAACGGAACTGCCGTTAGCATCCAACGTTTTGAACTTAGTCCCCCTAATTAAATCAAACGTGTATGAAGTTGAAACATTCATGTAAAACTATTTCTTTCAAATATAATATTTAGCTATCAAATTCTTTTCAATTTTTTTCCATGCATGAATCACCGAGTTAACCACTGTCATATAAATTATAAGATTTAAACAATAGAAATGCTTAGAATAAATAATCAGTTAACAATGTACCAAATCCAAATATTCTTTAATAATAGCATAATTCTTAATGAAAATAAAGCAAATTCTATAATGAATCAATTAACACAAAAATGAGGTAAGTAAGAAGAATTGTATAAATCATAAAAATAGAAGTGACAAGAATATTTATACAACTTATACAGAAATAATATAAAAATTTAAATAAAGAAATTTTATAAATACTTTGCAAGAAATTATTTGAGACACTACTCACTTACTTTTCACATTTCCAAAGACATCTATATCTTACTCCCTTTTAAGCTTCCCATTTATACTTCAATAGTGCCACTATTTACCTATCAACAAACCAACGAGCTAATAACACTAAACTTCTCATGCTACAACTCCATCTATGTATGCTTTATTTAAATATCCACAAACTTTCTCAAAACCTTATTCATTCTTAATTCAACCATTTCAAACCATAATCTCTTCTAATTTCTTTAAATCTAATAATAAATAATAATAACTCCAATAATTCACTGGCTATGCAATTCTCAATTAGTTTTGCTAAAAATAAAAGATCTTGATTCTAAAGGCATAGTATTTACTTAACTTTCTATAGCTCTTTTATTACACATTACATTTAACACCTAACGTGCATCCCAAAATTAAATCACAAGACAACACAATAATTTATAAATTATCAAACATAAATTCTCAAGAATCCAATTAATCTCTCAATAACATAGATAAGTTCCTTTACAATATTCAATTTAAATTTATAAATGCATAATACCCAAGTCAATTCATGCTTCTTGAGGAACCTAACAAAGTTATAGAAAAATACCTATGCAGGATCTTCTCCGACAATACATTCATCAACACCAAACTCCTTAAATTATTTCTGATCAAGCTTCAACAACTCACTAGATACATTTCCACTCTCAATGAATGACAAACTTTAAAAGAGAATAGTTTAACATTCACTTCCCCCATGTACAAGGCAACATTAAACTTAATCATTAATGTATATCATCATAGCTAACCATTAGCCTCAATATTAATCTAAAATCTATCATTCTTTCTTTTTAAGCATATGTCAAGTTCAATTTAATAACCCAAGCTTTCCTCCGCAATATATATATATATATATATATATTCAAGCAATATTTGTACCTTTTTAAGTTTTCAACATAGAGATTTCACAACCCAAATCTAAGTTTCAGTCATTAATAAAAGTAATATGCTTGCTTATTCCGTTTCAACCAAATTCCTCTTTCACACGTTTTAGCAAATACCTCATGAGCAACTTCATCCACACTGTATTACAAAGCTCCTACCTCTTCAAATCTCTTACCAATATCCATTATCAATTCTTAAATTTTTTTCAAGCTTCTCAAATCTCATTCCTCATACAGTTAAAAATTAAACTCTGACACAAAACATCACAGGAAACTCACTTCTGTTTATAATAACCTAATGCTTAAGGAAAAATTACTTACCTTAATGAGCTTCCTAATCTTCAATTTATGCTTGCTGGGATTCCCCCCCCCCTCCCCACCTATGCCTCACGCACAGCAGCTGCAGTCAGCAACAAGCCAACGATAGAAACAGGGAGAAGACGACATTGCAGATCGGACATGGAGGAGGAAGAAGGATGTCTGACGCAACCCAAACCACGGCAAGTATAGGGAAAGAAGCAAACTCCCATTCAGAACCCACGCACACCACTCCAGCACCAAGGAAAGAAAAAGACATAGAAATATGAAGCAATAGTGGAAATTACAGCAAACTCACAGTGGCAAAGAGATGAGCAGAAACGGTGAGTTTCAGAGCAGAGAAGAACGTTGACAGCAAGGAGAGCAGTCCGACGGTGAGGGAGGAATTTGACGGTGAGGAGAGAAGAGGAGCAATATGTCGGTGGAGAGGAAAGGAGAGAGAGAGAGAGAGAAAAAAAACTGTATGCTCTGTGCTTCGAACGGCAGAGGAGAAAAAATCTGAACAAAAGAGAAATTGAAAAAATTACAAGAAAAGATATTAAAAAAATTATAAAAAAGGGATAAAAAAATTACCAGAAAAGATACATAATTTTTTTATAATTTAAAATAAAATAAAATAAAATTTTTGTTTAGTAAAATTCAACTCTGTACCTTAAAAAAAATTACTAACATAAATTTCATTAAGCTATCACTCTTTACTTATTATAAAATTTTAACAATTAAATTTAATATCAATTAGGAAAAAAATTTATTTAATTTAAAATTTAGGATCATTATACTAATTGTTGATCCTTTGTTCTCTTAGTTTGTCTTATCATTATCTTGATTTTATAAAATGTGCAAGTAACAAAACCTCTTTTCAAGGCTTTTAGTCATCAAAATAGGTTGCATTCAACATTATCCTCTTTTTTATGATAACAAAACCTAAAATATATATTAGTATTGTCAAAGATAATTTGCTCTCCTTCAATAATGAGTTACTCCCCCTTAATTGAGGAATGGAGTTAAGAAGTATGAGAGCACATGTTATAAAATAAACTAAAAAGATCAAAGCAAAATAAACTTGCAATAAAACACAAGCACTGTCATGCTCTAAAAATTAAACATGACTGGCACAAGTTATGCATACAAACATATATTTATTAAGTCTTAATCGAAGGAACTCTAATCCAATATTTTAATTCTTTTGAAATAAGATTGGAAACCATTTTAACATTTACAAATAAACAAAAAGATTCTATTTTTTTATATAACCTCTTCTATAAGTGGAATTTTCTAAAATCTCTACAACAATCATATACAATCCAAATCAACATTTAGGAGCTTTGCTCCTTAACAGTAGACAAACAGTATAGATTATAGACCAGAATCTTATTTATAATTAATGTAGAGTACTTAATTGTAATTTCAAAATATAACACATAATAAAACATTTGCACGGAATAAAGATATCCTCAAAAGGTCCTTTTTATCAATTCAACAGTGAACCCTTTAAAGATCAACAAGAGATCGATTATCAGCTACGCTATCTAAGATCAAATATATTTTCAATATATAACGTTCTAACCATAACATTTTTGTAAAATCAAAATGAATAAAATATAATAGTTACATAAAGGGAGCAGTTCAATGTAAACAAATTTGTAAGTATGGAATAAAAATTTTATATAACTTTAAAATCAAGAAACTTTAAATCTATAACAATAAAGCAACTTAACATTTGATCTTGACATGTCAAAATAATTAAATAAATACATAATTAAAAATAATAACATTTGCTAGTTAAAAACTATTAAAGTGTGAAATCATCAATTAATGAAAACTCATATTTCTGGGGATTTAACCAAATAATTCACAAACGTGGACATATAGTCTACGAGAGTAAATAACCAAACGCGGCTTATGCCACGAAGACAAACATGAATACACAATCTATAAAGGTAAGTAACTAAATGCATCTTGAGCTACGAAACAAACATGAATACACAATCTATAAGGGTAATAATAACTAAACGTGGCTTGAAATCACAAAAAGAAATACGAGTACGAGACCCATGAATAATAAATGTGAGAACAAAGCTCGCAGAAATCAAATTAGCTAGTCATTGATTATGGCACGTAAGGGTTAATGGAACTATCATTAACAAACAATGTTTTGTATAGTATCCCCTCCAAATCCATTTTTAAACATGCGAAAAAATCATCACCATAAAATGCTATTCTCATTCTCATAGTCAAACTCATGTGAAGAATTTTAAGCATTAAAAAATTGCCAAAATAAAATTTTGTAACTAATGTCTATGTTTGACATTTATTGAGTAACCTAAAAAAAACTGAAGTTGATAAAAATAATCTCATAAATTTTTGAAACCATCCTTCGTAAGGAAAAATACATACATGTCATAATTCAAATATCTTTCAACATCTCTTTATAATTTTCCAAGATGAAAATAATTTAATCAACAAAATATTACATATGTAATATAATTGTTATTAAGTGATCTATAAAAAAATAATTTAGAAAAATTTGAATAACAAATCAATTGGAACGCTATTTACTTACTTAGAAAGTTTGAGAATAACAATTTGCTGCTACTAAACCCTGTCAATTGGCTCTTTGCTATTCTATCACCTAGACATGAAGAATAAGCAATTTTCTTTATTAGTAGCTCTACTTCCTATACTGCCAATAAAACTCAACAACATATTATCTTGTCTATAACTTATCAAAGTTTTCTAAATTAATTTGTCTCTAGCCTAATAATCATATTTAAAAAGATCTTATTTCTTTCTCTTTACAACAATGATACCCTTACGACACACTCACATTATCTTCTCTTTGTAACCAATAAATGATTTATCATTGAGGCTCTCCAATAGCTCTTCACATATACATTTATTCAAAGCATGTATCATTTGCCTTTCTTGCATTTGCAAGTTTCAAAACATCAATCAAAGCTCATTGAAATACTTGAGGCTATTTTTCAACAATTAAATGAACACATTTTGAATCCAAGTCCATGACAAATTTTAAAAGAAAATGTAGTTTAACCCACCTTCCTCATATAGCAAGCAACATTGAAATTACTCACCAATATATATCAACATAACTAATCATTGGTCTTAATATATCACCATAACACATTCTCAATTCAAGTCCATGACAAATTTTAAAAGAAAATGTAGTTGACCAAGCTTTCTATTACAATGGATACATATATATTCAAGAAATATTTAATTCTCTAAATTTTAAACATAGAAATTGAGAATCCTAAATCCAAATTTATGTCATTATAATATAATGAATATGCTTGTTTTGCCCTATTCCAACCAAATTCCTCTTTTACACATTTAATCAAATACCTTATGTACGTGAATTGATAACCATGATACCAACCTCTTCCTCTTCAGATTTCTCTATTTTATTTGTTTTCCTAAAAATTTCTAATATCAATATTTAAATTAATCAAACTTTAAAAATTTCTTTCCTTATATAATAATCAGTCCACAGTTGGAAAGAGCATCATTTATCTCATTTCCTCTTACAATAACAAGTTGCTTAAAGCATGATTACCATTCAAAATAAGCTTCCTAATCTTCAATTCAAACTTACTTCAACACTATTCCTATCTTTACTCATGCACAGCCATAAAGCAAATGGAAAAGAAAAAAATTTATCCACCCCAACTACCCATGCACAGACTAGCCAAGGAAGAGGAAACAGGTGGTATTCACTCATCTGTAGAGCATATGAGAAATTAGAGGAGAGACTCAAATATTTTTCCAGCTGCATGAGCATAGTGGTGACACTAAAACAAGGGAGAATGATTGAAAATTAAGGAAGTTTAAAGTTGAAGCTTGAACAACCAACAACAATAAAAGAATAAGAGAAGCTGAGCTTACCACACACATACTCTATGTCCAGGCTGAGAACACACACGCCCTAACACAACTCGCGCGCCACTAAACAAGAAAGAAGAGGAGAACAGAAATCATGTGGCTCACCACTTCAAGTCGACAGCGTATATGGAGAGTCAATGGCAAGGACCCAGACGCACACCAATGGTAAGAATCAAAGAAGCAAATCGGCGATGAGGGGGGAAATGGTGAAGAAGAAAATAAACGCTCTCTCTCCATGCTCTATTGGTCCACCGAGGGAAGGAAATTTTAAAGTGTTCATGCTTATTTAGGAAAATTACAAGAAACCCAATGGATATTTTCTAAAATCACACAAGAGATAAGGGCATTTTGGTAACTTCATTCAACGCTAGCAAAAATGATATTTCCCTTCATATAGGTAAGATTCAAACCCCATACCTCTAAGAATTAATTGACATAGTTTCCACTAAACTACTACTCCTGATTTGTTATATAACTAAAATAATAAAATAAAATAAAATTGAAAGGGAAAATGATTTAATTTAAAAAATTTAAGGTTATTACAGACACATTGAATAATTATATTTCGTTGATAATTGGAAGTATTACAATTAGAACAAATACATATAAATGAAAATATAGATACACAGCCAAAGCAAAAGTAATACACCAGAGTAAAAGGAAAAAAAATCAAAAAACATAGAGAAAGCACGACTCATATTCCTTTCCCATCACTTTTCCTCTTTAACATTATCAAAAAGGAGGATTTTGGCCAATGGCTTCGTAGAAGGTTCTCAATCGATAAGGAAGGAATTGGTCACTATTACTACAAAAAAAAATGATGGTTCTTTTAGTTCATAAATAATGGTTAATACGTGCCATTTATATAGCTGATATTTAAAGTCTACCAATAAATAACAGTTATAAAATTATCATTTAAAATAAAATTTTTACGGAAACTCAAGCCAAATGAGAATATAAATGAGGGGTAAATAAGTTACCTATCATTTAAAGCCACAATAAATGACAAGTAGAAGACTTAGCCAAATGATGAGTAAATAAGTTACCCATCATTTATTGTGGCTTTAAATGACGAGTAACTTATTTACCCGTCATTTAAAGTATGGTAATAGATTTTACCATACTTTAAATAACAAGTAAATAGTTTACCCTTCATTTAAAGTCCAGGTAAATGACGGGTAATTATTTACCCATCATTTATTGTAGTATAAATGACGGTTATTTATATAACCATAATTTATTATATGGTTTTTTTAATATGGGGGTTGTTTTTATACCAGCTCTCCTATAAAAAGAAATCAAAATAGCAGCAGCTAGCCATTCCAGATTTGAATATCATTGAAATTTATTGTATTTAATTTTAAAATTAATCAATAAATAAATGTAATTATATAAAGTAAACTATTTCCAAAAATAAACTACCTATTAAAAATATAAACTTCCTCGCTACTTCTTCAAGGTAGTTCTATTCATCTTCTTTGTATGAGGTCCACACTTAAAAAATATATTGACACCATTCTTCAATTACCTCATTTATTTCTGCATCCCTGAATT